GTAATCTGTAGGGGAATACATTTTAAAAGTCACCTTTCCAACACTGATTATGCACTAGGACTGCTGCTAAATATGATTCTTCTGTATGGGAATAAATACTCACACATATAAACCGCAAGTTGAAACTCTTGAATATGCGTTGTAGAATTTCCCGGCTCTAGCTTGTCGAACTGGGTGGGCAGACTGAGGTTTTAGGTGGGCATGTGTAGGGCTGTATGTGTATTTGTGTGAGGTAGTACACTAGATTGGCTGACCCAGGATTTTCCCCCTTGTCTTTAACTAGAGCCGCCCCTATTGTAAATTCGACTCCTTTCGCTGCATATGGCCGTGCTCCCTCTCTCCTCATTGTGGTTGTATTGTCCTGATCCACAGCATATGCCCGCTCCTCCCGTGCCCGCTCCTCTCCTGCCCTTCCCTTTGAACGCTGGAGTTTTCCGACATCTTTACGACGCGCTCACTTGGTCACGTCTTTAAGTGTCTGTGTCATCCTCCGCTCCGCTCAACCATCACTCGTCCCAAACGCGCTCGTAAATCCTGCTCAGAAATACAGCCGTGTCGCAGCCAGCCTCATAATGCTCCGTAAATCTGCACCAGGACGTCCACACTCTTTGTTTGGGTCTGTGAAGGGAGAATGCAAAAGGCTACATCTGCATTAGTTAAGGAAAGGTGCAGCATGTGTCTATAGCGGTTTAAAAAGACACTCACCTCTTTCAAAACATGTTCTTGGTTTGTTATCAGACTAGTGATGGGACATTCATGAACGAGTCATAGAAATAATAGGGATTTCCTCAAAACAAGATGAGATACAAGAATGGGTCCACAAGAACGAGACAAGACGAGATTTTAACATCATTCCTAATATATACATTTCACGATTCAATTTCCGATTTTGGCCACATAATTTTACATTTATTTGATTTCATAGTTTTGTTTCCATTCTAGCACTGTTTTTTGGAACCAACATGTAACCCTGTTTTGGTCTAATCCAAATGTAATGTCGAAAAAGATATTTTTTCTCTTGTGTGCACGATCTTTTGGCAATTTTGTCTTGCAAGATCTTGTGGCATGAGATCTTGTACCACCCCTAATAAATAAACAGTAAAACATTCAGTTTTTTTTTTAATGGCTTTTTGAACTGAATGGATTGAAAAGATTCAGATCCTCTAATGAAACCAAAAGTCCCATCACCACTTGGCAAGGAAACTCAAAGCCAAGTTGTTGTATTTATGAAAAAAATAAAAATAAGACCTTATAGGACATGTGTATTCAAGATCTATGCTCTGATGAAGGCCCAGTAAGGCCAAAACCTCTTGACTTAAAACAAAAAAATCATTCATAATTTAATAAAGACTTATCCATGCAATACTCAATGGTGATCTATATCTGAAGAAGTAGTAGAAGACCACACAGTAACAGTAATTACCATATTTGTCGGACTATAAATCGCTCTACAGTATAAGTCGCACCAGCCAAAAAATGCATAATGAAGAAGAAAAAAACACATACAAGTCACACTGGTCTATAAGTCACACTTTTTGGAGGAAATTTATTTTATACAATCAAAGACCAAGAACCGACATTTCATCTTGTTATAGTTAGTTCTAGTAATAACAATAGAAGAGAGAACAACAGACTGTTAACGTCACATATGAACAGTTCTTCAGATAAATATAACATAAACAACAGAACAGAACAAGTTTAACAAACTCTCCATCTCACTCCAAATCACTAAATCCACTGAATTCTTCATCCTCAGTGTCACTTCTGAGCAACTCGGCCTCGACCTCCGGAGGTAAACAGAGCGCCGCTTCCTCTTCTGTGTCGCTGTTGTCAGACTCAGCATCAGTTCCAGTTAGAATTATTCGGGTCTTTCTGAATCCCGACAGGATGGTTTCATGGTGCATCCTCCTGGTGTCACAAGTTTCTCTCTCACTCCAAACTTTCTTTCTGCTACTTGATTATCGTTTTCAGCTGCAGATTTCACGACTTGCAGTTTGTAATCTGCAAAATCTGATTTTGTTTTTGGGGGCATTTGTGTTCAGTCTTCTCAGTCGTCTTTATAAGTTTGTTTAAATGTAAAATTTTCAGTGATACAGAAGTAATGGTGTGATCAACTGACATGATACAGACAGACTACAAACAGGCTCTTTCTGCAGGAGACATGTGCAGTAGAGTGAAGTGACAGTGGTACAGGAGGAACAGGAGCAGCAGATACTCACACACAAGACTAGAGCCTCTCACTGCTGTCATTGTAAACATGTTAATATATAAGTTGTACCGGTATAAGTCGCAGGAAACACCCAAACCATGAAAAAAAAGTGTGACTTATAGTCCGAAAAATACGGTATTCAAAAAAAATAATATAAAAATCACTGTAGGTAAGTATTTTTCCTTAGTAAACAAATTGCACACAATATAAATAAAATAGAAAAAAAAGTATTGATCAGTTGCATGAAACATTACATCATATTTATGCATAATATTTATTGCCATTGTTCAGGAGTGTGGACAGATGGGCAGGTTAAATGGTCAAAGAGAGAAAGAGGTGAGGAGAGGAGAGAGAAGAGATACAGTGAAAAGGAGAGAGATATGAGACAAAGAGAGACAAAGGGGAAAGGAAGGCAGAGGAGAGGAAGAGAGAGCAGAGACAGAGAGATAGAGGAGAGAGAGGAGGAGTGAGGACTTCATAGAGCGCTCAGTTGTAAATCGTTGTGACGTTGCGCGTTGAGATAAGTGCCTTGTCCCGGCCTCAGTGTGTTATAATGAGACAGACAGATTTAGAGCCAAAGGGAGAACTGCACCTGAAGGACACACACACTGATCACTGCAGGACACAGGACTGCTGCTGCTGCTGCTGGTTAAACACCACCAATACACTACGCAGAATATAGTGGACAGAATGAGCTTAGACTGGATGGGTAAATTCAAGCACTCTCGCCTCACTGCAGCAAGGTCCCAGCTTTTCCTTGAGGATTTTGTGCTTCTACTGTGTCTGGCTTTTCTCTGATTTTCCCCATTAGGCCTGTCATGATTGTTCAGGGTTCCCAAAGTCATGGAAATTGAAAATGTCAAATAGTCATGGAATTTTAATATCTCTTTCATGCAACTACAGCATTCTAAGTTATCATTGGGCTATTCTGATTATTTCTGCGCCTTCTGTTTAAAAGACAGTAAATGCACTGACAGGATTTTGAATGTTCAAAGCTATAAACCATAAGGTGACAACATTTCATATTTAGCCCTAAAAGTCTGATCTATTCTACACATGTGGGTGCCATAAAGTCATGGAACATTCACTTTAGCTCATCAAAAAGTCATGTGTCAGTGGAAAAGAGTGGGAACGCTGATTATTACTATATCGACTTATCATTCAACGTATGGAATTGTTTCTGGGACTCAATATTTACCGCATCCCTCGTTTGATTCTTTGTGGATTTTGTAAATATCCTCTATCATCTGATTTGAGAAACATGCAAACTCAGAAAAAGATCAAAAACAGAAAGAACTGGGCAACCTGGGAGTCGAACTTGGAACCTTGGACTGAATTTTAAGATGTATTAAAGGTTCTGTATTAAACAAAATGGACTCTTGTGAGTTTTAAGCCATGTTATAATGTTGTTATCTCATCAAAAACAGACCTACATTTTGTTTCATTCACACATGTTTGAGTAATTCTTTAGTATTAGTCTGTCTACATCTCCAAACCTCAGAATGCTCCGTTCCACCTTGTTGTGTTATCTTTGACTGAGCTAATTCTTGTAGCTAGTTCTTGTATTCTATTCTGCGCCACTGAACAATTTAACATTTAAACAAACTTATAAAGACAACTGAGAAGACTGAACACAAATGCCCCCAAAACTAAATTATAGTTTGCAATTACAAGCTGCAAGTCATGAAATATTCAGCCAAAAACAGTAATCGAGCAGCCGAAAGATTTTTGAAGTTTGAAGTTTGGAGTGAGAGAGAAACAGTCACTGGATGGATGGACAAAGTCTGGACTTCAGTGACACCGAAACCATCCTGTCGAGATTCAGAAAGACCTGAATAATTCTAACTGGAACTGATGCTGAGTCTGACGACAGCGACACAGAAGAGGAAGCGGTGCTCCGTTTATCTCTGGAGGTCATGGTGACACCGAGGATGAAGAATTGAATGGATTTAGTGATTTGGATTGAGATGGAGCGTTTGTTAAACTTGTTCTGTTCTGTTGTTTATGCTATAGTTATCTGAAGAACTGTTCATATGTGACATTAACAATCAGTTGTTCTCTCTTCTATTGTTTTTTACTAGAACTTGACTTTACACAGGAAATGTCGGTTCCTGGTCTCTTATTTTATAAATACATTTCCCCCAAAAAGTTTGACTTATAGTCTGGTGTGACTTTTTCTTATTTTTTTCTCATTTTTTGGCTGGTGCGACTTATACTCCGGAGGAACTTCTAGTCTGAAAAACTGAAAACATGCTCTGAGGTGGTTTCACATGGAGGCAAAATGTCATAGAAGAACTCCTTGGTGCTGACTTCTTACTCAGAGCAGTAGGACAACAGCGCCATCTGCAGTCCCACTTCCTCAAAAGTGTATCCCAGGTGTAAGACAGTTGGTATACCCCATCATCCCAATTTATGGTCATGTAAAGGAGCCGAGTAGTGACAGTCTTATCCTCTGAGCCCCCGTGTTCCAGTCCCTGCGCTCATGTTAAGTCCTGTCTGTTACATGTGTTGTATGTTATTATGTGTGTGATGTGATGACGTCATGTGACACTGTGATAAATGCCTCACTCGGGGCTTAATGTTATCTGTTAGATTAATGTGGAACACTGTCTGCTGTCTCTCCATTTCTCTTCTGCGCTCCCTCTCTCTCTCTCTCTCTCTCCTTCCTTAACTCACCTCTCTTTCTCACTCACTCTTTTTCTCCTCTTTTCCTCCCTCTTTATTAGCGTCTCTATCTCGTCCTATTCACACATGTCTTTTATATTCCTCTCTGGTGCTTTGCTTCTTTCAGGCTGGTGTTCATAGACACAGACTTCAGGACTCTGAGGCTGAGGGCAGATGACTCTTCAGGACGGGAGCATGTCCTCACTGTTCACCTAAAGACAAAGGTACGACGCTGTCAATCAACACCACACTATATATCTTTACATAAAATCTACACTATAGCTATGATTATACGAGACCACACTATATCTATGTCATTATACAAGATCACACTATATATCAATATACAACACTGCACTATATCTCTGTCATTATACAAAACCAATTTATATATCATTATACAAAAGCACACTATATATAATTATACAAGACCACACGATATCTGTGTCATTATACAAGACCACAATATATATCATTATATAAGACCACGCTATATCATTATACAGGAGCACACTACTGTATATATTATTATGCAGTACAACATAATGTATGTGTCATTATACAAGACCGCACTATATCTATATCCTTATATAACACCACCATATATATCATTATACAAGACCTATGCTATAGCTATATGATTATACAAGACCACACTATATGTCATACAAAACCAATTTATATATCATTATACAAGACCACACTATATATAATTATACAAGACCACACAATATCTGGGTCATTATACAAGACCACAATATATATCATTATATAAGACCACGCTATATCATTATACAGGAGCACACTACTGTATATATTATTATGCAATACAACATAATATATATGTCATTATACAAGACCACACTGTATCTATATCCTTATATTAAACCACACTATATATCATTACAGAAGACCACACTATATATCAATATACAAGACCACAATATATATCATTATACAAGACCTACGCTCTAGCTATATGATTATATAAGACCACAGTATATCCATATCATTATACAGGGGCACACTACTGTATATATTATTATGCAATACAACGTAATATATATATCAATATACAAGACCGCAGTATATCATTATATAAAACCACACTATATATCATCATACAAGACCACAGTATATCATTATATAAAACCACACTATATATCATCATACAAGACTACACTATATCTATTTCATTATATAAAACCAGACTATACTGTATTTTTATCATTATAGAAGACCACACACCAACACAAAGGAGAGTTTAACATGCGTTCACTTATAGCTACATTTACATATGTAACTTGTATATACATGTTATTTTAAACATACATGAAAGAGTTTCTAGCACTCTCGTCTCATAGCAAGATTTATCTCTGTCATTAATACACAAAACTCCATCCAAAATACAGGGATAATTTAAAAATAAGGAGACAGGCACAATGATTTAATAAAGTAAATGTGTCGCCATACATTTTATTTGTCAAATAATAACCATTGCGTAAAGTAGATGTGCTTTGGCCTTTTGTCTCAGCTGGAAATCCAAAATGATTTCTCTGTATTTTTTGTAAAGTTCGTAAAGCTGAAATTTTCCAGGCAAAGAGTTGTCATGTCCAATAATGTTATAAATTGTAAAACAGAGAAAACCATGTGCAATTCATTATATTATTGTTTATGGGCATTGCCTGCTCAAGTTGAACATTTAGTTTAATCATATGACATCTTAGAATCATCACTGAAACAGTTAAGTAAATTATATTTTAAAGGTTTTTTGGGGACATTTATATTTTTACTTCCTGGTTGGCCACGGGCTAGTTCCAAATAGTTCACTGACATTGAGGGTGCGCAAACATATTGAAATATCGATATATTGTATTATTTAATGTGATGATACAGTATTGATATCGTGAACAGCTGTACAAAATTATTTTGTTACAGGGCAACAGTTTTGTTGCTTGTTCAGACGAAAGAAAAACGTTTATGTGACAAATTTAACATATTCACTGTTTTGATGATTAAAATGTTTGTGTTTCATATGAACTTTGCACAAGAAGTGGTTTAACAAACACTTTTAGTATCACAACCATGATTTAACCTTTATTTTTTATTGAACTGTATTGAATCAATTTGAAATATATCTCATCGAATCAGAAGCTCACTGTATAGAGATATATATCGTATATATATGTATCGAGGTATGTATCGTATCGGCAATTTCTGAAGGATACCCAGCCCTAACGGACATGCACATTCGGTTTAGCTAGGAGCTCCGTGGCCAGTTTGACGATTTTGGAAGAAGCCAGGGTAATGAGGTAAATTAATAACTGTTACCTAGCAACAATAATGTCAAACAAACGGGCCAAAACATGCCTAAATTACACAATAGTTAATTAGACTAATAAAAATACAGCACAAACTGCCACTTAACTGATGTAAACTATGATAAATATTAACCACAGGTGCGACCCCACCAAACCAAATCAGAATTCGAAATGAAAATATGCATTTTAAGGGCACCATGTAATAGAGCTAATGCTTTTCTCACTTATCTGAATGAAATCTGCATCCAATTTGAAACTCATAATTGAACTTCAAACCGTCACAAATATCTCTCTCTTTTTGTAGCGATCTCGTGTAAAAGTGCTGCTTCTTGACCTGGATTCAGATCCAAGCAGGACTCACGCTGTTTAAGTCGTGTGGAGTTTAATCTGCAGATAACGCGTCACCCATTTACATTTCTGTTCTCCGTGTCATCTGGGGCAAATCATGATCAGGGGAAGAGAGGAGGACAGGAGGAGGAGAGAGAGAGAGCGAGAGATGGCAAAGGGGAGTGCAGAGGAAAGAGAGGAAGATGGAGGAGATAGAGAAGAGAGGAGATTCTGCAGAGATAAGGCTTATTCAACTCAAGAGGCTCGTATGCACAGTACAACTTTATAGATATTAATAAAAGATCTACCAATTATTCTCAAACATGACATGAACTAAGCTTGTAATTATGCTTGAGTGGTTAGCACTCATGCTTCATAACAAAAAGGTTCTCGGTTCGACTCTCAGTCCTTTCTGTGTGGAGTTTGCATGTTCTCTCTGTGTCTGGGAAGGTTTCCTCCAGCCACTCCGCTTTCACACATCAGCCCAAACGTAAACGACAATACATCAAATCCTCCAGATAAGGTTGTCCTGACCAAGACCAGCGCAAGATCTGGAGATGGTCCCACTGCTCCTGACAGGTTTAACCCAGAGACACTGAAGGTCATATGCAGAGGACACTTTTCTCTACAGGGACAGTTACATGTACTTTAACCATTAACCTTTAACCATATCTATCTGTCCATGTAGATACTGTAGATGCTCCACACAGTAGATGGACATATTTTAGTGGACAAGGGTGAAAATATTGAACATCTAAATGAAAATCAAATTTTGGAAGGACAATTTTGAGATTTGTTTTTTGGGCAAGCTCTAGTAGAACCTTTTAAAAGTTAGTTAGTTCTACCGATAAGCAAAACTCCAACTCTCTATCACCTGTGGTCCCTTGAGAGCGTCCTTCTGCCCTCCTCTCCTCTCTCCTCTCTCCCCTCTCCTCTGGGTGTCTGGAGCTCCGCTGTGGGTACAGGGGGAGATGGTGCTGATCTAAGCCCAGCTGACAGCCCCCTCGGTCGGGGAGGGGGCTCTGGGTGGGACCCCTGAGTGTGCCCACCTGCCCACCTGGCCCTGCGCACCTCTGGCACCACAAAAATAGCTCAGAAGTGTCCACGATCCAGCTGCTTCCCCGAGCTCGGCGCCAGGTTTGCCCCAGAGAGGAGGCACTGGCACGGGCACAGGAGGAGCGGGCACAGGGGGGGCCTGAAGGTGATCCAGGAAGTACAACAACAAAAGTTGAACTGTCACACAGAAAGTCAGAGTTTGGTGAAACATGGGTTTAATAGAGTTTGAAAGTGTTTTTTTTCTCTCAACAGCACCCCGCAGAGGCTCCAGAGTGCGCTGCAGACGTGCCTGTGCCTCTGGTTTTCCACTGGACTCCACAGGTAAACAACACAATTAACTATGAAACATTTATTCAGTGATTCTCAGTGGGCTCTGTTCAAGCTTACGTCACAAAATTGGAAAACGTTTGGAAACATGTGGATGACGACTTCCTTTGGGCTCTGTTGGGCGATATTAACTGACAAAATCTGGGAAAACTGAGGAAAATGGCCTGTTTTTCTTCATCTAGATGTTATTGTATTCTTTCTTTTTTCCTTTTGTAAACTGCCTATTAATTTGTGTATTATAATTTGGTTAGCTTCATTAAAAAACAACAACAACAACAAAAACTGGTAGAACCAGCTGTCTGTAAATGACATGGAAGATGCGATTAGAGTCTCGTCCCCCGTGGAAAGCTTTGGCAGGTTGTGAAAACGCTGCTGCTGAATCCACGGTTTTATCACATGCCCAGTGTCGGGAACTCCACCGGAAGTCATCACCCACATGTTTTCCAGTTTGTCTTCCTGTAAATGTCGATAGAGCCTATAGGGATGGAGCAAGATCTCATGCCACAAGCTCTTGCAAGATAAAATTGCACGTGGATAATGATTTCAGAAGATTGAAGCCCCAGTGTGTAACTTTTTAGCCATAAAATAGAATTTTTTTCCATTTTGGTTGTATTTACTGCACTGAAAAACAGAGATATATTGGTTGCTTGATATATGAGGTCAGTATTTGTACTTTTTAGCAGCGTATCAGGTATCAGCTTTACATCTCCAGCACAGGCCGATATTTAGTATTGGCCGACCTGCTGCCTAAAAAGTATACAAAAAAATGTATTTTAACACTTCAGTGCAAAGACATACTGTACCAGTTCAAAGTTTGGACACATCCTCTCTCTTTTTCCCCTTTTATTTTTACAACTTTCTACATTTTGTACACGTGCAGAATATATGAAGTAAAATGTATGGAATTATGTAGCAACGGAAAAAAGTGTAATAATAACTCTATATGTTTTTTTTGTTTTTTTTTTTTTTTTTTTTTAACATATATATATATATATACAGTATTTTGTGTACTGCGCACGATGTAACTTTTTGGCTGGGGGTCTGTCACCTTCTCGTTTCTATGGAGATGTCATTGCTTTGCTTTGAATGTCCCGTAGTATGGCATTAAACAGCTCTACTTTACATTTATTCAATTACTACCACCAATTAACCACCAATAATTCAATTATTGGTGGTTTTATAACTCAATAACACTTAGAAATACTTAGAAACAGACATTCTGACTGTGAACGAGGTCATCTCTCCATAGATCTGACCTATAGCTTGGTCTGGTTTGGTCTCCATGATGATAGGAACGTTAAATGCCATACTGTGAAATATTTCAGATAAAGCTATTACATCCCCATAGAGAAAAATAGGTGGAGGATGGTAGTTAAAAAAGTTACACATATTTCCATATATCTTACTTGATATATTTGATGTGAAAGAAAGAAATAACATTGCATGAGCAGGTGTGTCCAAATGCTTAAAACATGACTGCACAGCTGTCTTAACGGTGTGGGGTATTAAGGGCTTTTGGATTTCAAGAAAATAATGACTCTATTTCTGTTTTGTAAAATGCTTGTCACGTTGGTCAAATTAAAAACATGAATAATGACAAAAAAATCACTCTTTTTCCCTCTATTTGAAAATGTCTTAATAAAAAATGGAGTTCAGTATTAATTTCCTGAAAATAATAAATCAACTTTTAATCCTGGCCAGTTAGAGTAACACACCTTCACACACCTTCACTGCTAAATGCTGTTAATCCCCTGCCCATGCATACAGTTCACAGTAAAGTTTGTTCCTGTGTCACTGCGTGCTCTCATTCTGTTTAAAATCTGCTGATCCTGTAGGCACAGCTGCAAGATTAATATCACAATTGAATTGAAATTGCAATTTAAATGGACTCAATTAGAAATCACAAAAGATGACATTTTTAAGTACCATAATTTCCTCCACAAATCTGTAGTTTAGATTAGACTTATTCAAACCTTATCTGTTACCTGTTCCATAAGTTGTAGGGAGTATTATCTGTTACATATGGGTTGAATTGTTGTACATTTGTAGGGAGTATTATCTGTTACATAAGGGTGAGTAGTTGTACAGTTGTAGGGAGTATTATCTGTCCCTCTATAGCAGGGGTGTCAAACTCATTTTGGTCTGGGGGCTGTATCCAACTGACTTTGATCCCAAAGGGGCCGGATCAGAATTCATGTCATTTAAACCCCAAAAATAACTATAAGTTCAAACGTTTGTGCAGAGAAACACAAATCTATTACAGAAATCTTTTTTAATTGATGAACTCTTTCTTTTACAAAATATTATAATATTATGAACAACCTGAAACTTTAAGAAAAATAAATTTCAACACAATGTTTTAACATGAACTTGTTTAAAATTAACTTGTATAAATAGGAATAAGTCAATTTTTCTTGGAAAATCCTGCACTCAGCTCCACTTTTCTCATTTTGGACATTTTTCTGATGAGGGTGTCATGGTCAACAGTCAAAACGATCGTCCTTTAAGAGTCTTCATTTGTGCTGCTCTGGTGGGAGGGGCCACGCACAGAGACGCTGGAGACGCTGCTCTGCTAAGCACCGCAGAAAATTTACAATATTTTAATAAAAAATAGTATTGTGGGCTGCTGTATCAATATATCACCAAGAGTATTTTTTGGTATATTTTACTAAATTATTTTGTTACAGTTTGCTACAGTGTTGTTTTTTTGTTTTTTTTTGGAAGAAAACTCTTTTATGCAACACATTTGACATTTTCACTGTTTTGATGAGCAAAATGGGCATATTTCTTATGAACTTTGCTCAAGTGTTTTAACAAACACATTTAGGCTACATTCAGGCTGCAGGGTTTAATGCTTAAAGATTTTTTTTTGTGAAATCTGATTTTTTTTTGTGAGGTTCTTCCATTTCCAATGAAATGCGACTTGTATGTAATCTCCAGTGTGAACTTTAAATGCCCCAAAAATGTCCCACATGCACATTGGAGGACACGATGACGTCACACAGCGAGCATGCTCAGGGTCTATGGAAGTCTCCTAAACATGGACGCAGCATTGAGCACCTGGAGACTTTAAAGCTGCTGTCAGAAGTCGCTTAAACACTGAGCTCGTCTCCCAAAATATGGTCCAGTTTTTGCTAAAATGGACAGATTACACGTCCACAGGCGCTTCGTTTGTTTGAGTCTTTATCTTCCTTGTGTTTGTTTCGCAGGCTTTTTATTTTTCGTTGACATTGGAGCCAGGACCGTCTGTAGCCGCTCTCGAACATTTCTTTGTTAATCATTTCAAAAACTGCCCGGTTCCTATAAGACCCCAGTTTGTCCTGAATACAGCGATCCCCCCAAATATGAATAAACTCACTAACCTCACTTTCCCTCCACCGACGAGACTCCAAGCCGGACGTGTAGGTGGATGAATGTGACCTGGAGTCACATGTTAAAAGATGAGATATGTATCGGTTTTAGGAGCACATATCCAAGTGCCCTGGGTCACATTTGAATGGATGTGTTGTCATTAAAAGATCAGATACAGGAGCATAGGAGCCAAAAAATCTGATTTGGGTCACTTCAGGCTGCAGTCTGAATAAAGGCTTAGTATCACAGCCATGATTTAGCCTATATTTTTATTGAAACATATTGAATCAATTTGAAATATATCGTATCAAACTGAAATGCTCACTGTATCGTGGTATGTATCGTATCGGCAGCTTCTTAAAGATACCCAGCCCTAGCTTTGACTACATAGTTTTACTCCAGGCGCCTTTCTATCCTGAAACCTTCCACTCCACTGCCCTCTGTCGGCTGTTTTCACATCTTCACGATTCTCCCCTCTCCTTTAATTCCTTCAGTTGTCCCCATAATGATTTTCTTCTTTAAAATTGGACCCGCGTATGAGTGGCATTCATGCCGTTTGAAACCCCTCGCCTGCCTCTGCTTTGTGTCATTATTACCGTGTTGTTTTTGACTGTCCCCTCCTCCCCTCCTCTCCTCCATCGCTCCATCTCTACCTGGATCCTGTAATTGGTTTAAAACACTTTGAAGCGGCGGCCATTTTGTTTGTTTGTGTTGTCATCTCTGTTTCATCTCCGCCACGCCGCGTCTTTAAAGGATCATTATTCACTCATAAACAACAACATCTGCGGCCATCAAAACAGCCATAAATGAGACTTGGGATAACCCGTTTGTTGACAGATTTCATGCTTCTTTTTAAGGTTGAGTCGAGAAGTGGGCAATACGGTAACTCAAAATACGATTGTGATGTGACCCTGGGCCAGTCTGCATATGGCTCATTTTTAGGGTTTAATGTTGCTGCATCTCATTTTTACTGTCTTAAAAATGTGAAATGGTTTGCCGGAGTCCAAAGTTGTTCCTTGTTTATTTTATGCATTCAGAGCATCTTAATTATTAACTACGATGAGTTTATTAGCACAACTTTCAGAGACCAGAGCGGAGCTACATTCGACTTTGTTTCTTATTTAAAGACAAAAATGTGTTGTTTTTCTTATTTTAAGTGTAGCAAGATATACATTCATATTTTAAGTACAAAAAGTCTTGTTCCATTGGCAGATCATTTTACTTGTCAAGTGAAATTTACTCAAGTTATGATAAAACTTTCTTAATTCAAGTCATCTTAACATTTTAACTTGCATTTCCTGATTCCCGGAAAATAAAACGCTTTAGAATTAGATGCAGAAATTGCACAGTGGACTTATTTTGATCTGAGTTTCTTCTGCATTATATCTGTACTGGAACAAGACACATTTTGCTCAAATATATGTTAACAATCTGAGATAAAATTTGGTTGAAAAAGACATTGTGCTCGTGTCTGCTATATAGTTATAATCTATCAATGGATCTTTATGTTCTGAAATTCATCTAAAACACATCAAGTAAGTTAACAAGTGCGCCGACTTCCGCGTTAGAAAACTCTGGTGTCCAGTGGAAGTTGAGGTCGCCGTAAACATCATGGCAACAAAGCGCCGCATGCTGTGGGCTCC